TCTTTAGCTCTGGGTTCTGTCTGAGCCCTTCATGTGCATTTCTTCACTTAGTTCTCCCCAACAAGCCCTTTACAAATATATTTTTAAACATTCATTTCCAGAAATAAGATGGCACAATGAAGCTGGACCAGGCCAAAACCAGGAATCAGGAACTCAATCTAGCTGTCTCACGTGGTGGCAGGGGCCCAACAACCTCAGTGAGCCTTCACTGTTGCCTCCCAGAGGAATGGAAAGCTTGGATTAGGAGTTGAGCTGGGACAGGAACCCAAGGACTTAAACCCAGCCATTAAGAAATGGGATTCCAGTGCCTCTCCCATGCTCACTGGCAGGAAGACTCCTCCCATTCTAACCCTGGGTTCTGACTGCCCCATTGTGCTTCAGGCAGGCCTCCCCAGGGCTGCTCCTGTATCTCCCCGTGGAGAGACCAAATACCTAATACACTGGACCCAACAACAGGTTCACACCTGTTACCATGGTGAGTGACTGCTCCCCTACCCTGCAACCTTTGTTAGCCTGAAGCTGCCATCAGGGGCAGGAGAGGCCTTCAGGGGTAGGGACCCCAGAAGGTCAGCAGCTCCTTGGTCTCCCCTGAGGCTTCCCTCCTCTCTCATATGGCTGAATTCTTGCCGGTAAACCATTTCTTTCATAATATCATTGAGATCTAAAACGAACTGAAATCCAAGCCTGGGCTAGTGCTGTCTTGTCTCCATGGAAACGACTTCAAGCCCAAGTGACTCCAGGAGATGTGGGTGAGGCTCTGCAGGCTGCCATGACGCTAAGGGACCAGGAGCTGGACCCAGCCAAGCTTGGTTCCACTGCGCTGGCAGCAGTTCAGGCCTATGTTTTCCCAGCTCTTCCCAGCCGACATTTTCAATTATTCTTGACAGTATGCTGGCCTGGGGCAAAACAGGCAGCTAAAACAGTGACAGCTCATTCTATGTTGGTAAAGCGACCTTTTAAATTCTGTGAAGGTAGCTCAAAGAATGCGGTCGGAAAGAAGCATAAACAGTAATAAATTTCAAGAACATTCTATGGAAGCACTTTTGCTTCTGGGAATGGGAAACCAAAATTTTCCCAAGAGGCTCCCTTATTAAAGTCATAAATAACACATCCCGGTTCCACAGCTTGGTGGCTCCATGTGTCTGGCCTTGCTCTCCAGAAGTGACTTGGGATGTGTGACAGGCAGCCCAGTGGAGGCTGGGAGGCTGGGAGGCTGGGAGGCTGGGAGGCTGAGAGGCAGGCAAATCCATGGCTTTCTGCACACCAGTTCAGAGCACAGGGAAATAGGCAGATTTTGCTTTATCCAAGACCACATGAGATGGCCACTGTCAAATTTAGGGATAATTTCCCTAGCTGAAGCCACCCCTCTCCCCCAACATACTAAACATTCTCTAAACTTACACTCATCCTTAGAAGTACAACTAAGACATGGACCACCAGGCTCATGGCCTTGGTGGTCTGGGTTTAAGCCCCACTTGCTGCAACTCACCATGCTGCGAAGCCAAGGCTACGGAACTTGTCCTGTGTCAGGTGCTACGGAATTTGTCTTGTGTCAGCTGCTTCTGTAGAAAAGGAGTGGTTAGAGGGACAAACGTTGGATCCCAAATGTCCTGTGCCAGCAACTCATTATAATGAATTCCTGTCACTCAGCAAAAAGAAAGTCAAGCAACCCTTGCTAAGGTCTATTTGTGCTGTGTACTTGATGGCTGTTCATTTATTTGACCTCACGATCACTTCTGCCGAGGCTGCTTACTCTCAACTTACACATGATGGAGACTAGCCCCAATCATAGCAGCATACTTTCTCCAAGTAGCAAATGTACAGGAATGCAAATTTCACATCTCCGTCTGTCACACTGCAGCTGAAGTTCTTCCCACTGGCCACTAAATTCTGAGTTCCTGAGCTTGAGATAGATCATGAATGTTCTTTTAAATACTTATTTTTATTTGGATGATAGAGCAGCAGTGGCAGAGACAGAATCTTCTGTCCACTAGTTTACTCCCTAAGTGCCTGCAACAGACACAACCAGCCCAGGCCAAAGCCAGGAGCCTGGAATTCAATCTGTGTCTCTTATGATTGGAGGGACCAGACCAGTTGAGCCATCGTCTGCGGCCTCCCAGGATGATTTGCAGGAAAATTGATCAGAAGCAGGGCAGACAAAACTGAAAGCAACACTCCAATATGGGTCTACTGTGCCATAATCACAATGCCCACTCCAATATTACTTTATTTCAAAGTAAATATTTGTCATTCTGCCATTGTGCTCAAATAACTTGTGAATGCATCGGGGACTTGGGTTTCTCTAAGTGTTCTCTCACTAAAATGGTCCACATCACCTGGGAACTAGAAATGTGGTCCTGTGCCATGAGCTTCACCCCTTGGGCCTGTTCTAAGCTGGTCTGGAGACTCAGCCTTTTGGGGCCCCTGTGAGACACCATCTGGCACTGGGTATGTTAGTGACTTCTGCATGGGAAAAATTGGACCTATATCTTTTTAAGTCATTCTGGACAACTAGAAAGCACTATCTCTCATCCGCTGCAAAAGAAAACAAATGGAAGACCAGGGGCTGGTGTTTTGGCGCAGCAGGGTAAGCTGCTTTTGGGATGCTCCCAATGCCATGTCAGAATGTTGGTCCAGGTCTCAGCTTTGTGCTAATGTGCCTAAACACAGCCCATGATGGCTCAAGTACTGGGTTTTCTGCTATTCATTTGGGAGACCCACATGGAGCTTCTGGCTCCTGGGCTTTTGCCTGAAAAAGCCTGACAATGTGGGCATTTCTGGATTGACTCAGTACAAGTACAAGTAAACTCTTGCTGTTACTCTGCCTTTCGTATAAATAAACCTTGACACAGAAAAGCATAGTTCAACAAATAGATTTGAAATTCTGAAAAAAATAAAGACATAATACAATTCAACCCTTCCTTGATTCTAAGCACTTTGCCTCCAGGTCCTCAAAAACTAGGATTTTTCTTAGAGCAGAGACAAAAAAAAAAAAAAAGTCAAAGAAAGTAATGAAATGTGAGGGAACCAAGTAGTCATGACACCATGGGTCTGTTATCACACTCCCCAACAAGGCTTCTATTTTTCAGACGTTCATAGCAGACTGGGGCCACTATTAGGGTGTGGGCTTCCACTTAGAACCAGAATTCAAACCCCAACTCTTCTAACAGGCTTGTTATTTATAACTCTAAGTCTCAGTTTTCTCTCCTGTAAAATGGGTGGTGATTGTGGCGAGTAATGTTCAGAAAGACCAAATACAATACTCTTCTTCATCACACTTCTCAATGCAAAACCAGCATGACCAGGGATGGGTCAGTTGTTTCGCTGGGTTCTCATTAGGTGCTGGGCCCTGGGCTGAGCCTTTCACAGACCAAGGCTCTCTAGGAAGCGCAATCAGTATTTGAACCCAGATGCTCCACTTCCTGCGTCTGATCCCAGGATAGGAGTCAGGTAAAGGGCTGGATGAATTGACTCTGCAGAGAAGGGCTGCCTGTGAGGGTTTGGGCTGATGTGGCTGCAGCCCTGGCCAACAGAGATGAGGACACATAGAACCCACCGGGTATAATGAGGGCTGCTGATACTCCGCTCTTGGTGGTTCGTTTCCATATCAGAGTAGGCACATAATCACATGTCCAAAGATGCTGTTGAATAAGAAAATGCAGATAACAAATATCACTAATGGTCTAACCATTTACCTGGTGTGGGAAACATGTATGCTATATCCTCCATTCTCAGGCATATTAACATTTTAAAGAGATTTTTTAAAGCTGTTAATTCACTACCATCCCCATTAATTCAATGTCCATCAAGCATTTAGTCATCATCCACTATTAATGGGAGGTGCCAAGGATTACATACATAATCCAGCAGAGTATTAAGCAACAAATCCCAGTTTGAGCCCGATTATAGAACCCACAATACTTTTCACGTAGCTATGTTCTTTACACTGATTGTCTAATTTGCCTCCTCAGAACCAGCGCCTACTCATTTAGTCATCAAGGTGGGCAGACAGGGGAAGTGAACTGTGAATCCATACTAGACATTTTAACAATGAGGAGGAAAGAGATGAAAATTGGGAACATGGTGAGAACCCAAGGTTGCAAAGTCAGACAGGTAATAACCTCTGACTTGGTCACAGTCATGACATCCGACAGATTCTCAGTGTTACACTCCAGAACATGAGTGAGAGTGCCTAGGGATGGTGTGAGGAAATGCTTCCTTATGATGCCCCTGGACCAAGTCACACGGACAAAATACCAACCAGGCTGGGTCAGGTACAAGCGAGGGGCCTCAGGAACACATGTGTTTACTGACCTCTCACCCCAGCCCGGCATCCTGAACAGCTCCAGTGGAGGTGGTAAGGTGGCGGGGAGAGCGGGGCCAAGGGACTACCAGCCCAAGACTGGGTATCTCGCATCCCATACATGTCTCTTGGCCTTGTCCACAGGCAGCACATCCACTGGAGCAAGACCGGTTACAGAAGGCTAACACACTCAGGCACACATCCAGACAAACTGCAGCTGCAAGGGTAACAAGGAGGCTGTCCAAGTTCATGAGAAGGCGAAGCAGGTGGATAAAACACTTGAACAAGTAAGAAGACTAGATTTCGGTTTTCCCTGCGACTGGTCGCGCAACTCCCTCTGTAAGCCATTCAGATGAAAGCACCCCACAGGGACCGAATCTTGCTGTGTCTGTAACACAAGTGCTCTTCCACCGAAAGAGCTGGTGGATGTCAGAGAAACAGGAGTGGTGGGAGGCAGTGGGGCTCAGCTTCCAGGACCGGGTCAAGGTCACATGCACACTTCTGATAGCTAAGCCAGGACCATGCTCACACAGAAGTGGGAGGCCTCTTTTCATTCACTGATCACCCTTGGGAAAAATAACTACCCAGGTCGCTGACTGGGTTAGACAGACAACCACATTCCATTATGTCAGTACTTCCTGAAGAAAAACAAAGGTAAAGCAGTCAGGCTCAGTAAAGACAGAGACTCTCCAAAGACTTCATATTTGAAAACTTTATTTTCTCAAATGAGCACCAACACAGATTGGAAATAAGACAGAAACAATGCACTTTAATACTGAATCTCTATGTACAAATACAGGACAAGGACAGATTACTGAAAACAATCACCGTTGTTATTGGAGTAAAGTGACCTGGAAAATGTCACTGAAGAAAACAAACAAAAACAAGAAAAACCCAAAGAACACAGTTTGTAAACACAAGCATCAACACAGATTCTGTAGTCAAGGACAGTCTCTGCTGGCGGCGAACGAAGACGACACATGGACACGAGGCCCTGGGGTGACGAGGGAGTCACTTGATTCTTCGTGGCTCCAGCTTTGACTGCCAGAGTTCCTACAAGTTGATTAGCCTGTCTTCTCATTGGAGGCAGGTTTCTGTAGGACATGTAAGTCGGCTGTGCTCCACGTGTGATTTCCCAGCCTCCCACTGCCTGCACCCAGGGCAACCTGAACTCAACACACAACCTGCCCACACCACCACCCAAAGGAAACGGTTTACCTCTAAGGTATGGATATAATTTTATCGATGTTCTTTTAGACATGCCCATCACAGGTGCAAGCCCGACCTGGACAGAACGCTGCTCCACCTCCACAACCAGAGTTTCTCCTCTCTCTGTTCAAGCTGAGCACACGAAGAAAGGAGCAGCCCAGCATGTTTTCCCATGCTCAGAGAAAACAGACCCTCCAGGCTCATGCTGTTGGTCTGCTTAGAAATAAAGATGATGGGGAGAAAATCTAGAAAACCTTTCTGAGCTGTAAACTGTAGTTATAGTGTCCCCGATAACAAAAACAGGAGGCACAATCCAAAGTGCTTTTGCGCACGCACACACACACACACACTTAAAAAAAAAAAAAATCAAGATTCCAATTTGTTGGAAATTCTTCCAAGCAAAGGAACCACTCTACATTATTCCTACGCAATTTAATTGATTCTATTTCTTTCCTAACTGATATTGGTGCAAGAAAACATTTCGAGTCTCATCTGGTTAGGTACTGTAGAGTCTGTCGGGGGGGTGGGGCACATGCAGAGGGCACTGTTTTAAAGCCTCAGTCCACAAGGACACAATGAGAGTTGTTTTGCTTTTAAAGTCTATTGGTGATCACTGTTTCCCTTAAAACATACTTTGAGAAATGCACGGGGGTGGGGAGAAGACCATAGAATTTAAAAATGAAAATAAAAAGTGCTCTCAGGGGATCTGAGAAAACAGCACCAAATATATTATTTAAAAAATTAAATATTATTTACAAAAGTATATTTCACAAGCAACTTTTATATATATATATATGTATGTATATATCTCCACTTGAAGATCTGCTTCTAATGGGGACACCTCTTTCCCATACACTGATCCACCAGCAAAGATGGACTCTAGCTACATGGTCTTACTGTCACTTGAGCTAGTGCATGACTCCCTCAGGGCCAGCTGGTGACCGTGGGCATCAGCTTTGGCTGTATTGATTCAGGTCAACTCCATCCATCAGCAGCCCGAGACTGTCCTCCTGGGGGTGGACTCTGGGATGGCCGAGGCTGTGTGACCTGGGGTGGCACAGCAGGGGGGAGATGACACTACGGGGTCTGCCGGCTGGACTTCAGTTTGAAATGAAGGCAGCTGCTGGCTGAGGTATAGTTTCAAGGCCTTTCCCTTTCTCACATCTACCTGACCCCCCTTCTCTACTCCCTACACTCCTGCCCAAGTACTTTGTTAGCCAACTCCCAACTCCCTGAACCTGCATGAGGGGAATGGATGAGGTCTTTGGTTATGCTCAGAGTTTTATAATTTAGTGAGGAAACGAAAGAAGGATCTGACCGAGGCCAGGAGTGGATGAGTCGCCATGACACGAGCTGTGGCCTCTGCAATACTGATCACGTCAGACATGCCATGAACGCAGTTACAGGTCTAAGAAGCACTTTGGGTTTCACTGATACAAGGGAAGCCTAATGCGCTTGGTTTGGTTTGGTTTTGTTCCTTTACTTACAGAGAAACCAACACTCATACCTTTCACATCGCAGAGGACACCCATTGGGTGCCCCAAGGACAGTAACTGGAAGAAACTAGAACCTGGGTCTGGATAGGAGCCTGCTCTGATCCGTACACCAGTCCAAGGCCCCATCTCCAGGGAGATGCCCCACATCTGCCCCTTGGAAACTCTGGGGTACTTCACACCCACATGCCCCACATCCCCACATTCCATTTTGAGCCAGGACTTTCCCTGAGGAAGGCTTTATACAAAAGGTGTACATGATGACCTCTTCCTCCCAGAGGGACAGGAAGGGGGGACAGCCATGATGTCTGGCTGGTACGCCAGCTCAGGAATGTCAAAGTGAAACAAAAAATTCATATTTGTTAAATCAGGAATTTGGGCCTAAGAGACAAAGGAATTGTTTTTGCTGGGAGCAAAACTGACACTTCGAAGCCTCCATCTACCTGGCAGAAAAGTGGGGAGCACAATGTATCCCCCAGGGCTACTAAAAGCACTGGAAAGTTCTGAAAAGGGACCTTGAAGAATGGAGTTCTATCCTTAAGGATTCTTGGCCACACAGAGGTGGAACACTGTTAACCAGGGTACTGCCCTGCTTCCTGTCTGCACCGAGCATGCAGTTCCTATCTTCTAGTCAGCACGTGGAGACCCAGAAAATGCATCTCCACTGTAGACTCGCTCCCTCTGGAAATCGGGTTCTGCTGTAGATGCAAGTCCTGAAAATGTACCGGGTTGGCATCAGATTCTTCCCTCCACGACCTCATTTTTGCTACGAGACTTATGAGGGACGCTCCTTTACGGGATCAGCCTGTGCCAAGAACCAGACGCTGAGAATCACCCAACATGGAGGTCTTGACACCGAGTCAGCTAACAAACTCAGCTAAATGAGTTTCAGCCACAAGCCCTGCACTGGCTGAACGGTGTGAATCAAATGGGACCAACCCCTGCATTCCTCTCAGCTGTCTTACAGGCATCTGTTCTCCACTTGCCTAACGTAACCAAGAGTTACAGGGCAGGGTGGTGCATACTGGGATCTGAAACCCTCCCCATGACTGGATCACCTGATAGGAGCTCTTCAGATCCAAGAACGGAGGGCACACGAGGAATCCACCGGCCAGGTTAACACTAAGCCTGGAGGCCTCACTTTCCACAGACCACAGTGATACAACCAGAGAAAAACACCAGAAACTTTAGGAACAAAGAATCACTGCTCCCACTGATGTCACTGCGTATGCAAAGAGGCGAGAGGCACCCTCTAACCTCGTCTGTACTGCAACTCCGAGCTCAGTTGTTCCTTGCATGGTCCCTACCCAACCCCCTCGCCTTGCCACATTAGGCTTATTAAGGGTCAGAAACAAGGTCAGACTGATAGGATTGCTAACAACTGCTTCTATTTTTATTTCCCTGGCTCAGATACTGAGCCATTTCTCCAAGAGCTCCCCAACTGCAGATTCTCTTTGTTCCCTGCTCTCCTCGATTACTCATTTGACTTGGCTGCTGGCCAAAGCCTTTGGGAGAGCTGGATCCCGTGCCCGCTGTAAATGGCCTTCCTACAGTGGCTGGGGCAGCGAGGAGGGTGACTCAGGAGCTGAGCGAGACCTCGGAGCTGTGTCTGGGAAGGTGGGGGGGGGGGCGGCTGCTTGCCTGCCTGTCGCTGCCAGGGCCGTCCTGGCTCAGCTCTTGCCCTGCCTGCCTGAATCATGAGGGCTTGTGCTCTGCTGCCAACCTGACACACCTGGTGTCAGAGAGAATGCAGTCATGTGAGGTATGTTTTTTTTTTTCCCTCCTCTTTGTCCTTTTAGACAAGTCTATCATTTCGAGCTCACATTACTGTGAGATTTTATTCCACCTTCCGCCCTCCGCCCACCCCTGGGGGCCTCCAGCCTCCCCTCCACTTCCTCCCAGACAGAAGCCACCAGGCTGCTCTTGCTCAGGGGGCCCTGGGGCCCTGATCAGGGTGGGCTGGGATCTGTTCCTGTAGATGTTTTTGTTTTCAGTCAACACTAGAACAGAGAGAAGCCAGAATCAACTCACAAACAGATACAAAGCAAAGAGACAGAGACAGCGATTTAGAGGCCAGTCACCAACAAGATGGCGTCCGGGTGAGAGGGTGCCCCAGCTGCCAAGGCCCCTCAGTGGATGGAACCAAGTGTTCAGTCACTCTCTCGCGCTCGGGTAGAATGTTCGGTTGGATGGCGTTCACGCGGACACTGGGGTGGGTGGCTGCTGATCAGTCCCAGCCATTGTCCTTGATCATGTGCGCTAGTTCAATGATGTATTTGCCTTCTTTATATTTCTGGCTGCTTTCAAAAGCGTGTTCCTAGGAAACACAGAGCAGAGGACACGGAGTTGACACGAGAGGGCAACTCATGTACCACAGCGGCAGAGACGCTGCCACCGACCAGTCAGGCCTGGGCCCACCTTTACTCCCGCGCCAGCAGAATTTCCACCACCAAAGCACTTACGCTGTGTCCCTCTCAACTGCTGGTACCTGAGGCAATCCCAGAAATCCCTCGGGACCTCCGCTCCGGTCAGTCCACTCACATGGCACCATCTCTCCAAGCTCCTTCCCACCTGCTCCACTTAAAATCCCATCTTCCACGCAAGCACCTGGGTCTTCCCATTCCACCCCTGCTGCTTTTATTTTTTCATCATTTTCCAACATATGTGATTATTTGAACTTTTATTTTGTTTGCTATTTGTTCCCTGTGACTACCCCATACACGTCAAGGAAGCTGGGGATTTGGGTGTTTTGCTCATTGATTGAGTCCTGGAAGATGGCCAGGCACATAACACGCCTTCAGCAAATAATTGCTGAACAACCGGTACACACACACACACCACGTCAATAATCTTAGAGCACCTTGCGCACTGCTGTTGACAGGTAGTCTGCCCAGTGGATGCCTCCATAAACGTGTCACTCTGGCTATGTTCTGGAAACGCAGGGAAGTTGTTTGGTGTGGAGAAAAGACACCCAGGAGAGGAATAAAGGCCTGTGGGGCCAGGAGGGCCTTTTATTTCAGTTTCCCTTTCTGCCCAGTGTGTCAAGCCTGGTTTTTCTTTCCTGGTCTCTCTCCAGGGAGACAGAGCTGCAAATATCCCAGGCTGGGGAAACCTGCAGCCTGCAAACCCCATCTGCTTCCCAGCCCCTAGAGGGAGAAGCCCACATGAGCCACTTCACCCAGGCCCTGGGAGCTCTTCCAGCTAATGAGCCCATGGAGAGAAGTTCTGCATGAGTATGGGGTGTTGTGTTATTTATGGAAACAGAGATATGGGAACCTTGGCGCCTCAGTAGAAAGCTCCGGTCCCAGGAGTCACCGTGCGGCTAAGCTCAGCGTGCAGAGCAGTGGATGTCCGCTCAGGCAACCTACAGCTGGTGGGATCTGGGCGTCAAATACGTACACTGTTTTCTGGAGTTTGGGTTTCAGGATAGAAGTGCAAACTTGAGTTTCCTATTGAGAGAGAAACCAGTCCCCAGTGTGGAAGGGGGAGAGGAGTCGGGAGGGAAATTGAGGGAGAGCTATGGGCTCTGCAGTGATTCCCTCTCACTGCATTATTCATTCCCCACTGTGTGTGTGTACAGACAACAGAGCAATATCGTCTAGGAGTAAGACCTATTGTTTAGGCTGGAAAGAAGAGGAAAAAAAAAAAGTGGGTGAGGGGGGCTTGATAGTCTAATGGCTAAAATCCTTGCCTTGCATTGCCAGGATCTCATATGGATTCCAGTTTGAATCCTGTTTGCTCCACTTCCCATTCAGCTCCCTGCTTGTGGCCTGGGAAAACAGCGGAGGATGGCTCGAAGCCTTAGGACTTTGCATCTGCATGATACACCTGGAAGAAGCTCTTGTCTCCTGGCTTTGGATCAGCTCAGCTCCCAGCCATTGCAGTCACTTGTGAAGTGGACCAGGGATGCAAGATCTTTCTGTATCTCCTCTCTGTATATCTGCCTTTCCAATTAAAAAAAAAAATCATGTCTGGTATGATAGCATAGTGGTTAAAGTCTTCGCCTTGAAAGCGCCGGGATCCAATATGGGCGCCAGTTCTAATCTTGGCAGCCCTGCTTCTCATCCAGCTCCCTGCTAGTGGCCTGGAAAAGCAGTCAAAGACAGCCCAGTACCTTGGGACCCTGCACCCGTGTGGGATACCCAGAAGAGGATCCTGGATCCTGGCTTCGGATCAGCTCAGCTCCAGCCATTACAGCCACTTGGGGAGTGAACCATCAGACAGAAGATCTTCCTCTCTGTCTCTTCTCCTCACTGTATATTTGCCTTTCCAATTTAAACAAATAAATATTTTTTAAAAATCTTAAAAAGAAGAAAAGAGACAGGTCAACATCCCCAAGTCACAGGAGCACTTGCTGACTGTCCCAACTGGCGATGTCCCTGAGCTAAGAAAGCCCTTCCCGAGTCCCTGCCTACTGCTTCTCAGATTGGAGGAAGCACTTTGCCACTTCTGTTCCATCAGTTACAAAACTGGGCGACTTAACCCTACTTTTCAGCATAGCTGTGAGTCAGAATAAAGAATGGAATGCACCAATGGATACTGGGGCTGGGGTTGGGGAAGCGGGATTGAAGGGAACATTCTCTGAAGTGCGGTCAGTGTGATACTGGCATCCCAGATTAGAGCACTGCCTGGCTTTAGATCCAGCTTTCTGCTAATGGGCCTGGGAAGGCAGAGGAAGACCCTTGCCACCCATGTGGAAGACCAGGATTAATTCCTGGCTCCTGGTTTCAGCCTAGGCCAGCCCTGGCTAGAGCAGCCATTTGGTCAATGAGCCTGTTCTCTCTCACTTTGTTGCAATGCTGGTTTTTAACAGTCATGCAGCGGAAGACTCGTGGCTATGGTCTTCCCAGCCCCCTACCAGGCAGGCAGACTTCTCTGTACTTACATATTTCCAGCCCAGGGTGGTTTTGCAGTTTTCACAATAAATGTCTGCAACTGCGTGCAGTCCCGTGAGCAGCACTCGCTCTTCCGCAGGCCCGCAGCCCACATTGACTCTACGCCAAGAGACAGAGAGAGAGCACGCCGTTAGTCACCAGCACATGCATCCCCAGTTGTCCAAGCAAGAATGAACAGGGCAAGGCTGCCCTGGGGGCGAGTCAGCCCTGAGGAGAGCCTGGGGTTTAAAGCTGTCACCAGCCACAGTCCCCAAAAGGCAGCCACATGAAAATAGCTCAATTGGAATGAACTTTACATCTGTAAGTTGATTCCGTGGGGCTACTAAGAAACTCGTGGCAAGGATGTCCCTTCTAAGGCAGGTTTTCAGCTTTGTGACTTCAGGGGGACATACTGGCACCCACACTATGAGCCTTGCTGCCAGACACAGACATCCTCAGAGCTCACTGGGGATGGCCTCTGGAAACCAGGCTGACAGCACACTCCCAGCCCCATCACCAGAAAGGAGGAGTGTGCCCTGAGTGCTGAGCGCACTTGGCCTCCAGGTCTGGTGGTTGCCAGGTTGCATGAACACCCTTCCTCCTCCTTGGCAAGAGGCTATAACCTGGTGCTCAGGTAGGCCCAAGGGTGATGCACACAGGTACCCGCAGGGAGCTGCTCTAGCCCTCCCTCCGTTCATCTGTCCTCAGGCAGCTCTCGGTGTCTTTGCTTCATCCTGGCTCCCCTCCCAGAGGACTCGGCTCTGCTCTAGCTGGGAGATCTTCCTGCCAAGGCCCTCTCTCAGCAACTCTTTGGCATCCTCTCTGAGTGCCCATGGAGGGGCAGCATTGCCAGGCACAGAGATGTTGCCAACCCACATTCCCCCAAAGAAAGGGTCTCCCAGCTGTGGAAAGCAATGCTCCACAGGGGTCTTGCCCTTCTTGAATTGTCACCAAGGGTTGTTTGTCCCCAATTCCTCAAAGTTTGCACCAAGCCACACAGAGACCAGTTAGACACACTCACACTGAATTAAAAAGGTACGCTCGTCCTTGACTTCCCTGGAACGACTGAAAAGCAAGAAAAACAAATTGATTGTTAGAGATCCATATCCACTGTAGCCACGGCTTGGCAACCCAACCCCAGTCAACCCGCAAGTGTGACCTTCCCGGACAGACAAGGCTAAAGGGAGCATGTAGCCAGCTCACGGTCTAGCTGCCAGATGGCATGGGGGGAGGGCAGAGCCACCAGAGCTCTGGCACTCACACTGGTCCATCCAGGGACTGTGCTCAGCAGCCCAGGAGAGAAAATGAACAAAAGCCCCAAAACACAGGCCCCACTGGGTTGTTACAAACTTGTTCTTTCCTCCCAACTCTGCCTGACACATCTACTTGAGACAAAATTCATTAGTATTACTTTCTGAGGGTCCCACTTGATCCCAGCTATCTGTGCTGGCCCAGGCATGCAGACAGGGCCCAGCACAAGATGTCCAGCCCTACTGAAGGCAGAGAAGAATCCCCAAAAGAAAAACTACCCAGCAAGGCCCACTCGGATCCCTTGCCCTGCTTCTCGTAGATCATCATGGTTGCTATGACAATTACAGCCCCTCCCTCCAGCCCTGCCAAGTAGGAGCCCAGACGCCGTCCTGAGCTGTCAGGGAAGTGACCTCTGAGGCAGGACTGCTCCTTTAGCAGCTTCCATCTGGCCCCATGGTGTCAGGGAACAGGACAGACGTGGGCCTCTGCTAGTCCTGCAACTGGGTATCTGTGTCCACGGATGCAGGCCCTGCCCCCGTTTTTCTCCTCCGGTCGGTCACACCACCATGTGTGGCTGACAAGGGTCAGCCATGTTCTGCACTGCTACCTGCATTTTTTTCCCGTTGTCTGACAACTGGACTCTGAGAAGCAGAGGCTCCAACCAGGCAAAAAGAACTTCCTTTCAAGGAGGCAGAAAAGTGGTTCCCAAAGCAGGTGCACTGCCAGCGCAGCAGGTCTCTCACTCCCAGGCACAAGTGCCAGTACCTAGCAGATGCTCCCCAATTGCTGCCCACACCTTAACCAGCTCTCTCCTTTGTCGGGCCTTGAGACACCCCTGGGGAGTGCAGGCGCACCCGTGTTTCAACTGAGCTGCCCTGAGCACCACAGCTCCCAAACCTGCAGCCCGGGACCCTGGAGACAGGTACACTCCTCACATGGGAAAAACCAAAACCCAAGATCCTGGGTCCTGAAGGTCTATGCCAAGAAGTTCAAGTTCAGACTTAGGAAGAGGTTAGCTAAACATTTGCAACCTAGGGACTGTCAGGAGTCCGCTCCTGAGATGCTGCTTTGGGACACATGAATGTGGGTGTTGGAAGGAGGAAGGAAGGATGGGACACCCCCTGGGAGGGGGCGGGTTGGTGGGTAGCAGAGCTCCTAGGCCTTTGCTTCTTGCTTGCTGCACACGCTGCTCTGCCTGTGCCTTCTGTTTTCCTGAGCACTGACAAGGGGTCTGATCTTCTGAACATCAGACACCCAGTGATATTTTTGTAATGGGTTCCAGAGCACCACAAAAAAGTTCTGCTGACAGTCAAGTGTCTACAGCTCCCACTACAGACAGAACAGACATTTTCTAATGTTTTCATCTTGTATGTGTTTTTTTTTCAGGGGAAGAGTGCAGATTTAAAAATCAAACGCTTAGGGCCAGTGTTGTGGTGCAGTGGATTAAGCTGCTGCTTGTAGCAACAGCATGCCAATCCAAGTCCCGGCTGTGCTATTTCCTATCCAGTTTCCTGCTGATGTGCTTGGAAAAGCAGCAGATAATAAATAGCTCAAGTAACTGGGTCTCTGCCACCCAAGTGGAGATCAGGATGGAGTTCCATGCTTCTACCTTCAGCTTGGTCCAGCTAAGGCAATTTCGGAAGTGAACCAGTAGATAGAAGTGTGCACACGCTCTTTCTCAAACAAGTAAATAGATAGATCTTTTTTTTTAAAACAAAAAAGTATGCACTTGTACAGAAACTGATTCAAATTATATGAAATTTAAAAGAAAACCTGAAGCACCAGCATTGTGGTACAGTAGGTTAAGCCACCACCTGCAATACCAGCATCCCACATGAACCCCAGTTCAAGTCCTGGTTGCTCTATTTATAATCTAGTTCCCTGCTAATGCACCTGTGAAGGCAGTGGAAGAGAACACCAGTACGTGGGCCCCTGACACCATGTGGGAGATCCAGATGGAGTACCAACTCCTGGTTCCAGCTTGGCACAGCACCAGTTATCACAGCTACTTGGGGAGTAAACCAAGCAGATGGATCCCATTTGGGTGCTGATTCATGCCCTGGCTGCCCCACTTCTCATCCAGCTCCCTGCTTGTGGCCTGGGAAAGCAGTGGAGGAGGACCCAAAGCCTTGGGACTCTGCACCCACATGGGAGACCTGGAAGAAGCTCCTGGCTCCTGGCTTCAGATTGGCTCAGCTGCTGCCATTGCAGCTGCTTCGGGAGTGAATCATGAATCAGTGGATGAAAGATCTTTCTCTCTGTATCTTCTCTCTGAAAATCTGTCTTTCCAATAAGAATAAATATATCTTAAAAAAAATGGTGAGGGGATGGAGGAAGCTGACAAAAAATGTCTAACAACCAGCGGTCTCACCTACTGCAAAATGGGACAGCTGCCTTGGAAAGGAGGCTGGCAGCTGCATCTACCCAAGTAAAATGAAACGCCTATGTTCACATGAAAACCTACAAGGATATTTTTAGCAGCTTGATTCATAATCGCCCAACCTAAATGTCTCTCAGTGGAGACTGGGTAAACACACTGGTCCTTCCACACAGTGCTTCTCTGTAAGAACAAGGTCCACATGGATACACTGGGCAGCCTAGCGGAAGAGCCAGGAGGACCCTTGGTCACCACTGGTCATGAGTAAGGCTAAAGTGTTGGGAACAAAGGAGATGGAACTGTAATGGTGATTGCGGTGGTGGCTCTATATATCCAAATTCACAGACCTGTCTACAAAAAAAAAAAAAAAAAGTGACATTCCACATAGGTAAATTCTAAAAACCACTTGCTAAAAAGTTAACAAAGAATCATCTCTAAAACCTCGTCCATAACACATGCCTTTATAAGCAATTTCCCTATTTAAAGATGTTTGGAAAACAATGGTTTCAGGAGTTTAAACCATTGTTCACAAGAGCACTTTTTGCAAGAGGTTGCAAGAGCTGATTATATGTACCTAAGGACATACCCTTTAAACTACTACGTCAGGAAGGACAAACCTAAGTGCTTTTAAAAGCCATACAAATTATAAAATCAACTATTTCCCCCTAGTTTTTAAAATTATGCTGACTGAATGAAATTACAAATGTTCAGGATATGCATATTACATAGCAGAACACACGTGCCATTTGTATGCATACAATAGTATACTGACAGGCATGGTAACTTCAAAGTTAAGACCTTGGGACTAGTGTTATAATGTAACAGATCAAGTAATTGTTTGCTGTGCCTCTATCCCCCGTGAGGTAAAGTTGGAGTCCTGGATGCTCCACTTCCAATCCAGCTTCCTGCTAGTGCACACCTGGCAGACAGTGGAGGATGGCTCAAGCACTTGGGCCCCTGCTACCCACCCAGGAGATCCAGATAAACTCTCTGGCTCCTAACTTCAGCCAGGCCCAGTCCTAGCTGGTGTGGGCATGTGGGGAGTAAAACGGGTGATAGAAGATATTCTCGCTCACTGCCTCTGCCCCTTTGCCTTTGACATAGATGAAAATAAACTAAAAATAGAGAACACAAAAGGCTAGAGGACTGTGCTGACGGGTACCCAGTCTTCCTCAGGGCAGGACTGAGAAATTTCTCTGCCTGACACATCAGAATTCCTAGACAGAGTGGGGCGGGAGAGGGCATGTGGCAGAGAGAAGAAAGGCCAGCTAGGCCCAGTGGCACCTTCCCAGCAGGGCCTGCTGAGAGTAACCCGCAAAGGACCACGCTCTGTCAAGGGCACTGGACCCAGTCAGGGCTGTCCATGTGGTAATGCCTTCTCAAGCACCCCTCAAGGGGAGGGTCTATAAACCTTCTTTGGCTCAGCCTGGCAGACAGGACCCTGGAAGTTCTTTTACTTTAACTTCCAAACCGCCCCCAGCGTGCCCTGGACACCCCACCCCACCCCCAGCCCGCCAAGTCTACATTTATGATGAGAAAAACAGCTGCTGGGTGCAGCACGCTGCCCACAAGCAGACACCCACACACACCAGGGCTGTTCCAGCCAGGCTGCTGCCTTCTGTGGGGCCCAGCCAGCCTGGCGCAGCCTAGCACGGTCTTGTACTCCCCTGGGTGAGGGTGGTACCGGAGATGGGGACTCTGAGAGGAAGTGAAGGAAGCAATTACAATCAAGCAAACAGAGTTTCAGACCTGGAGATACCAAACAGGCTATAGGATGTGTTTGTTTGCTGTCCCTCCTGCCAGGCAACGAGATAGCTCTCTCCCGGGTCACACATCAGCCGGAGCTGCTGCAGGGCCTCTGGGAAAGGCTTCCACTTCGCCTTTGTAAACCACACAGAACATTTCTTCTGCCTTTTCAAGTCAAGTCATAGTTCTAGGCCCAGCCCTTCCAGCCGGCTCAAAGGAACGGAAAGGGCTCTGGGCTTCCTGTTTAGTAGCCAAAACCACAGAATCCTGGCCCCTCTGAAAGGCTGGAAGGCAGACACTTCTGTTCAATGTGGGAGAACCACTGGCAACACGAATACTTTCCATGGGAGTGGCAGCATGGCAGCCATGGGTCCTCACCTCAGAGTACCGCTTCCTGGAGCAGACTCCATCCAGCCCAAGAGCCTCAAGAGGAAGAGTCTCCCCAGCTCGGGCCACTCCCCTCACCGTTCTCCATCAAGCCATGCTCAGGAGGTGCACCAATATCCAGCTGCTAATCAGTGGTACCACGTGTGAGATGCTCAGGGTAAGATGGCCTAGTCTTGGCAACGAAGATTCAGGTTCCAATCCTGCCTGGTAACTTCTGCTTACTGGCTTCTTGACCTTGGAGGGGTTCTGCAGGCTCTCTTGGCTCCCACTTATTTTTTTCTACTGTAAATGGAAACCAAGCCTA